ATTTTTGGAGTGTGGTAGAATGCATTTTACTGCTGAAAGAGGCCACTGCCATCAGGGGACCCCATTGCCATGAAGGGGTGTACGTGGTCTGCAACAATCTCTGCATAGGTGGTATGTGTCAAAGTAACTGTCAGGATTACAGAATGATCCAGCATGTAGAATTGTGTACCACAGAGGACTAATAGGTAACGTATACCGGACCTTAGAATAGCTGGGCTAACGCACCAAAGAATAGTCAGGAATAGCCGAGGTCAAGGGAAACAGAAAGAGACACAACGATAAGGAAAAGCCAGGAGTCAGGGATGCCAGAAAACAGGGAAGTCAAAAACAATGCCAAAGTCAAATAACCAGAATTACCAGAATTAATAACGCGCTCTCAGACAACCACAAGGGAAACTACGACAAGGCACTGAGCAGGATGAGAACTGGGCCTAAATACCCCATCTCTAGATCTGATAGGCTGTAACCGGCCTTTGACCCCAAAGGCAGTTACCAGGTTCCCGTTTGCATAATTGCTTCTCAGCATTAACCCTTCTGTGGATTTGGTTGCTGCTCGGCACAACTTTTACTGTGTGGACAGTAAATTCCATTAATGACAGTAACATCAACATGAATGCCAGGACCCAAGATTTCCCATCAGAACATTGTCCAGAGCATAACGCTGTGTCCTTCTTCCCATAGTGCATTTTACTGTCATCTCTTTCCCAGGTAAATGACACACATCTATCTGATCTAAAAGAAAATGTGATTCATCAGATCAGGCAACCTTCTTCCATTGCTCCATGGTCTAGTTCTGATGATCACATTCCCATAGAAGGTACTTTTGGCAATGGACAGGAGTCAACATGGAAACTCTGACTGGCCTGCCACAATGCAGCCCCATACTCAGCAAACTGCAATGCACTGTGCACTGACACCTTTTTATCATGGGCAGCATTACGTGTTCAGCATTTTAAGCTACAGCTCTTCTGTAGATGGGCTAGCCTCCAATCCCCACATGGATTGAGCTTTGGGTACAAATGACCCCGACACCAGTTGTCTTTCTTTGCACCACTTTTGGTAGGTTCTAACCACTGCATACCGGGAAAACCCTACAAGACCTGATGTTTTATAGATGCCCTGACCCAGTTGTCTAGAGTCACTCATATATTTTCGCTTGCCCACTTCTCCTGCTTCCAACGCATGAAATTCAAGAATTGACTGTTCACTTGCTGTCTAATATAGTTCATCAATTGAAAAGTGACATTGTAATGATATCATCAATGTTTTTTACTTTACTTGTTGGTAGTGTGACAACCTACAGGTTAGTTTGTTGAAGACAGGAATTCAAATTGCAATGAAACAGCACAAACTTAACAATTACGACCCTCAGGTGTCAGGTCTCCGCGGGTGGTGGCTTGTTGTGGCCGTGCGCCACTCGCGGCGACTTCAGTTGTGCCCACGCTGTGAACGGCGGCTTCCAATGCCCATGCTCGGCTCACGGTACCTCCGCACTTCCTCTTTGTGCGAGCGGCAGGATAAGGTGCCGCGCCACACATGGATATGTCAGCTTCCCCCCAAGTAGCCTTCAAGACTCCTCCCCCTCACACAGCGGCCGGGTCTGTAAACATTAGAGATACCGGCCACTGCAAAGTAGAACCTTTTAAGGGTTTTGTTATTAACCCTTATAGTGCCATACCATTTGGAATGTGTGGGTGATGTCACACACACGTACACTATCACATGCTTCCTTGCAGCCAATGAGAGAGCACCTTAGGCTATTTAAGTCTTTTATGTCCATTTCTCAGTGCCCTGTTATGGTTTCCATTCTGGTTATCTGAGAGTGTGTTTCTGGTATTGATTCTTGTGTATATTGACCTTGGCTATCCTACTGACTATCCGATCTCTGTATTCCTTGACCTTTGGCTTGGCTCCCGACTATTCTGACTTCTATATCCTCGACCTTTGGCTTGTTAATAGTTTCTGTGATTTCTGTGTTCTTGTCCACAGCCTGTCTTGTGGTTTTTCCTTTTTTACCTTAAATCTGGCAATTCTAAGGCCCGGTAATACGTCTTTGGGTTTTCTTTATTTTTTTACTTAAGTTCTGTGAGTTGGGCATTAGTTTATCCTGACAGTAACAGTTTAGACCAACAATGTGATTGGAACAGTGACAAGTGTAAGTGAGTAATTATGTCCGGGAGGAAAAGGAGGTAAATCAGTTTGGATTGAACTTTCCCTATTGTGCCTTTATGGGCACCCCTTAATACCAGAAAACGCGCCCTGTCTTGTCTTAAAAATATAATTTTACCTCCCACCACAATATACTGAAGTAATTATTGGATCATTGAATAAATTTGGTATATTATTATTTTGAAAATACCTTGTAATATAATCTCAAAAAGGATTGAAAAAAAAAAGAAAAGAAAAGAAAAACAACTGCATTTTCATAGGTCCTGTTTCATGTTTATTTCTGTAACTGAGAGTGACAAAAGTGCCATCAAAAAAGGGGGGGAGAAGAAAGCCAGAAGTATCACTATCGGACAGTGCTTGCCTTCTGTGAGATATGTATAAACATGGTCAGTTATGAAGCCCTATCGTTCCCACTGAAAAATTGTTAAGTTCAGTTTCTGCTTAGTTACTCACTAAGGGCAGGGAACGATTCATCAATGGTACAAAAGTCATATTTGATTCTCCATATATTATTATATTGGGCAAGTTGATTATATTGTATCTAATTGTCCCACAGCTATAGTATAATTGCCAAAACAGCCCGCTTGGTAAGGGTATATTGTGGACTGACCAAAGAATAACATTCTATTCACTGAAAGAAAATGTTCAGATGGCTTACATCTAGACAATCTGCATGCACTCATAAGTATAAGCACAGAGATGTGGTAAGCAAATAACACTCTATTCACTAACAGAAAATGTAGAGATGGCTTTACCTCTAAACAATCTCCATGCATTCGTAAGTATGAGCATAAAGATGTTGTAAGCTAACCATTAAACCAAGAAAGTGGTTGAAACAGTGTCGTGTGGAAGGGAGGAAATATGTCAGTGAAGAGGGAGTAAATCAGTCTGGATTAAACATACATATACATTTTTCTTAACATGACAGGGCGAGTCTTCTGATACTGAGGGGTGCCTATGAAGGCACTAAAGGGAAAGTTTACTTCAGCCACATCATTAAGGTACTGATAAAAATAAAAATAAATGCATACAAACAAAAATATCTGTATCAGGAAGTTTCATAGGTCTATATTTTTTTTTTTAATTTTCAATCCTTTTTGAGATTAAATTACAAGGTTTTTTCCAAAATAATAATATACCAAATTTATTCAATGAGGGTGTTACAATTTATTTTAAAATCCACTTCCCTATTTTCTCATTATCCTCCTTTCTGTGTTTTTATTATGTCTTTGCCATTCATCATTGCAATCACACATTTTCCATGCCAACAGCCTATTGGTAAATTCAAATGCCGATGATCCAATCAGGTGAAGGTAATTCCTTTTTATACCGGCAACATTCTAAGTACAGTTGCCCTCTGATGAGATGAAAAGCGAAACGAGCGTCAGGGGCATTCCTGCTCACGTGATCATCGCACCAACTATATGCAACCAGCTGTAGAGATAGTTTTTTTTGTCCACATTACTTTTGAATTATTACATTCAATTAGGAACACTCTTGTACCTTGAGTGTTTCTTAAGGAGCTATTAGTATTTATGGTACCTTGAGTTTTGAAGTATCACTTCAGCAATTAATTATAGGCTGGTGTCCTTAATCCTTTTGTCCATTAAACATGCTATTATGTTACTCTGCTTGGTATAATAACAGCGGCGTTTCCAGACTCCCTGGAACTATTAGAACTGGTTATTTCCTTATAAGTGACAACTATGCAAAAATAAATTCTCTACTGATTGCCCACATCAAAATAAATATAGGCATGGCGTGATCTAACCTCTCCTTGTCATCTAAAGAACATATAAAATAAATTTATGTAATAGTTACAAAATCCTACAATGATAACTCAATTATTATTATTATTATTATTATTATTACCATTTATATAGTGCCAACAGATTCTGTAGCGGTTTACAATATAATGAGAGGGGGGATTTAACTATAAATAGGACAATTACAAGAAAACTTACAGGAATGATAGGTTGAAGAGGACACTGCCCATACGAGCTAACAGTCTATTGGAGGTGGGGTATAAAACACCTTAGGACAGAAAATAGCAATCTGGAGGAGAGAGTCGAGTGCTGCCTTTAAGGAGAGAACAAGAGACCAGTATGTGGGGTAGAGGTTGCCTCATTGTTTTATATTCATTGAAATAGGCATTCCTTAAAATAAAACCCTTCAAGCCCAAGGTATTTTTTCAGAGTTACAGAGAGTTCAATTACTATTTTTCCAACGTAATGGCCTCTAAATATTGATAGATTGGATGTACACCAAAACTGGAGTATAAGGGTTTACGAGCACTATAAGTACTAGTTTAGCTCTGTTCCTAGCGGTGGCGAGGTAAAATTTTATTGACAAGGGTCTCAGTGTCCTCTTGTCCTATAATTCAACTTCTCTATCTCACTCCTCTACAGATGAAGGCAGCAGTGGTTATGAAGAAATCCCTGACACTCTACATTTTCCCTGCTCAACTTCATCTGTTATTTAGCATTACTCAACAGATATCAAGTAACAAGAGAACTTTCAGTATTAGTTAAAGATGATTTGAAATAGCCTTTTTCAAGCCCCTTAAGTCAGACTTTTTGTTTTTTCCTTTCTAAGTTGTAAATAGGGTCTTTAAGCAGCTGTGTTAAACTGTAATGAAACAATTGTATTCCAACAATTTTTGAAAAGTCTCTTTAGTGAATAGATTATAGAGTAAAGGGTCATATATGATTTAAACACAATTATTTATCAAGTCACCTGTAGAAATAATTTTGTCTTTATAAATCTTCAAGAATGATAAACCTTGCGGTGACATGAATGTACTGATTATTAAAGCCTGATGTAAGCACCCCCTAATGTTTAGTGTTGCATGGAATTGTACAATAAGACCATGTTGTTATTGCATGTCTGCTTTTTAGAAAAAAACAACTTTGTCTTTAATTCCTATATGTTTTATTTATCACATTTTATAAACTGGAAAGATGGCATTCTTTAGTTATCTCAAATGTTTAGGCAAAACATATACCTAAATATACTTGACAGAGCCATGCACTTTAAATATAGAGATGTCCTTTACGATAATTTATTTTGAAATAATATTTTACTAAATGGATTTTTACAATTCAAGAATCATCAAGGCTTTTACCAAAAGTGTTTACAAAAATCACATTTAAGCACATTTACAAAGCATTGGAGCCTTAAATTATCAAACTATAAGAAAATATACAATGGGAAGAAAAATATAAATTTTTCTTAGTTATGTGGTTCATGTCATAGATCAAATAACACTTTGACAAATGTACCTTGAGAGCTGCCATAAAATAAAAATTGACAACTTTTTTCTCTGGAGAGTTCTCATACTGCATGATAGCCTTAAAACATAGAAACAGGAACAAAAATTCAATATAAGGTTCAGAATATTGCATCAAGTTATATTGTTTCCAGTTGCGTTCTTGAAATACTCCAGACACTAAAGCATCCATACTAAGTTTATTATGGGTTCCTCAAAATAACTATACAAACACAATCAGCCTGTTTAAAAGAAAACAAGGTATAAGATGGTTCTAGAAGAACGTCTATATTTTAATTTAAAAAAAATCTTTTTTTCTGCTATCATTAGCAATCTTGAAGGAAAGCTGGTATCAATATTTACACTCTAAGTATCATCAACATTAAGTCTATACTTAAATCTTCTACTGATTTTCAGTTCCTTTCTTGAACACTTTTTATGCCATATGTTTTCATGTGTGTTTTTCTTCTGTATTCACAAAGTTTAAAAACAGCAACATTTCATCATACTCTATAAAAATATAACTGACATATTTTTCAATGGTAACCCCACTTTTAAATGTTCATCCTTGATTCATAAGTGTTTACAGATAAGTTTCAAAGCACGGTCTTGCTACCTGCAACCACAAGATTCAACTACCATGTCTTCATATTGCTTGTACACTACATTGTTGGCAGAATCTATATAAAGAATGCTTATTGGACTTAACCTAGTTGGAACACAACAGGTTGGAGGTGTAGTCTCTGGGTCCATAGAGTTCATTAGCGTTTGGATTACTGCATGATTTGTAGGTTCTAAATGGGATCTCAAAGGAAATTCACAAACTCCTTCACAATGATATGCCTCATACTCTAAAGGTGCAATAATCCAGTCATCCCAACCCATGTCCTTGAAGTTAACATGAAGGGGTTTCTTGCTGCATCTTGTTTTTGAATTCTTATTTGGCCTTTTCCCTTGACGAGTTGAAAGAGGGGCTCTTCTCTTTCTTCTCTGATTGAACAAATATTCATACACAGTTTTATCATCTTGGCCTGATCTAGCCTTGATCTCATTGAAAAATAAGTCACGTTTTTTTGTCCTTCCAAAGACAAGAAAAATTGCTTTCTCGTTTGTTTGTCTTCCAGTTCTGTTAAATCCCAGATTTTTTAAGTCAGTGGGCTTTCCCTTATCCACAACCTCAAGTTCAAAACACAAATGAGCATAGTTTTTGAAATTTTTAAACAGCTTCCATATGTCAAACACTTCCCATTTTGATGAATCAATATTGCCAATAGGTCTAGAATCCAGAAGTATTGCTGCTTTTTTGTTTGCTGGGCAACTGAATAACTTTATCTGTGAGAACTTTCCAGACAGTTGAAATTTTAAATCAGTTGACTTTTTTCTAAGTATACGCAACTCTGCACCTAGTAAGCCATCTTTCTCCAAGGCACTGATGTCAAAAATGTATTTTTGTCGTCTTGTCACTGTCATTCTTTCATCTAAAACAAATTGAGAATACATAAGCATAGATTTAAAGTGTAATACATGGCGTATTGTTATATATTTTGTACCTAAATACCAAGATTAAAACAAAAATCATAACAAATCCAAAATGGTGCGCAAAAATATATATGAAAAATCTAAAGAGCAATTGAAGCAGGAGTTGATTGAATTAGGTGGCATTTTCCTGTTCAAACCAATTTAGCACTACTTTTTGTTGAACCTTTTCTGGATTATGATGATAAAACACCTGAGCAACAGAATTGTAAAATCAGATTGAGATTTTATTTCACTTAATAAATTAAGGTAAGACATTCGTGTGTCTGTGTGCATGGATATAGCTTCCTGATTATTCAATATAGTGACATACTGCAGTCTAAATATAATTGGATCATAATTTTTTTTTTTTACATAAAGATACATTTTTTTAGCTTAACCTTTAATCTCATTTCACCACTTCCATAGTTTTAAATCTCATAATTGCTTTAAAATTGATGCTTCCTATAAAACATTTGGTGCTGTTTCATGGTCATGAACAAATGCAGAACTAACTTAATTTTTGTACTAATAAAGGGCAATGCTGTCACATTTTGTGCATACCAAATTACTGATTTTTGGCAGGTCTACATAACTGCTATGTCGCATTAAGTACTATCATTAGTAAAATAACCTTTTTCTTTTATGGGGGGTGCTGCCCTATGTGGTGTTATTAGGATGTCAATCTCAGGAGATTTTGTAGATTCCGTTTGCTTTCTTTTACTGCTATGATTAAGGAGTTCTATCATGAAGCAATTTAAATGATTAACTACACTGGTAGAAACTAGCTTTTTAGTAGTTACAAGTGTTTATAATATGTTTTCTACAATACTTTGCCAAAAGTGCCTTTCATTTAGTTTTAACATTTTACACATGGCAGAGAAGTGCTTAAATTGATTTAATTAAAAACACAAGTTCTAATATCTCAACATTATAATGTAAATGCAAACAATCAATACTTATGGGTACATAGAGAGAAAGAAAGAGTGGGGAGAGAGAATCCATATATTAATCTTGTTAGTACTAGAATCTGCAACATGCTTACCAAGTTGTTTTGTCGGTTTCACTAATTATTTTCTCTGGTATCAATTTCAGTGAGGAAGTTGGACAAGTTGTTTATTTTATCTTGCAAGCTGCATGGATTTTTGTTAAATCACACACAGTTCCTGTACAGAACAACTGGACACATTTTACTCAAAAAAGAATGGATTTTATTGAACAATAATCGGATATTGACAAATCATCATCAGAATATGATACATGTCCGACTGCATATTTACACAGCTAATATGCCACACGCGAGATATATATATATATATATATATATATATATATATATATATGTATATATATATATATATATATATATATATATATATATGATCTAGTAATAATAAATGAAGATTTCATGTAAAAATTTAATTATGGGTTCTTAGATAGACTGGACAGCAGACTATACACCGGGCTATTCCTTGCAATGTAATTAGACACATTTTCCAAACCAGAGTAGCAAGTTGTATAAAACAGGTGCAGAACAGCCTAAAAAGGGATAATGTAAAGTTATAACATAGCAGTAACTTATATTTACATTCTGGAGAGCGACTTTCAAATTTTAAAGAAATACACAGACTATTAACCATTTCATCACAAATGCCTTGCCATGGAAGTAATGATGTCATAGCAGTTGCCAAATCCTTCATCATGAAGACATTAAAGATCTAACTATGGGCTAGATTCTAATAGGTGGGAATGCGTGCATCTCTTTAAGACAATAAAAAAAGGATATTAATTTACAAAGATAAGCTTATATACTGCCTTAAAAACCTTTGTGATTACCATGTACTCTAAAATAAGTAATGTTGTTAGAAAATAATTAGTTGTTAGAAGATGTTGAGACACATATTGGAACACTGTTAAAATGTAATTTGTTGAGATGTCATATATGTAATAGTTCTGCAACTGTTTTGAATCTAAAATATTTTGATGATGTTGTTGGAGCAATTTATTACAAAAGATAATCTGTCATTTCTTACCTTGTCCTTTGTCTATAAAGCTGGTGATGGTGTTAGCTAGTCCTGCTTCCAGTTTCAAACTTCCGTTAATGCCTTTCTTTTCAGCATCGGATAGAGTTCGATACAATGACAGCATGTATTCATGAGGAGTGATAAGGGGGTGTTTAAAAGTGTCTTTTTGTTCTTTCTCTATATGTGGGTTTGTAGACTTTTTAGGCTTGAACCCAGGAGAATCTGCATGAACATTAACAATTTTTGTAGGGGCCCTACCACCAATCTGTTGTTGAGGCTGTGGATTTCCAGTTTTCCAATCTGGTTGTTTTATCTCAGAGTCCTCATTCTTGATTTCTAAAGCAGAACCTTTTGCAACTTGCTTCTTCAAGTCATCACTTTTAATTGGAAGAATCTTTGGTTGAACACCAGCACTCTTAGCCCTGGTCTTTGGAAGACCAACCTCATGGCCCAAGTTTCCAGTTCTAGATGTGTTAACCTTGAGCAATGGGGTTTTATCTTTTCCTCCCCCTAAAGAAATCCCTACTTTAGTTCCTGGTTGACTGTGTCCTTGTTCAGCATGGCCCAGAACCACAGGGACCAAATTCAGGTAGTCCCATGATAGATACCAAAGAAGTATACTAATATAATTCAGTATTTTCATCCTCTGATCTTTCTTTGAACATCACCACACAAAAAAAAGGCAAAGGTTCCACCAAACTGGCATAAGACAACATGAAATAAATTGAAATACGAAACTGTCAAAAAGAACTTTCTCCTTAGCGTACACTTTAAATCTGTTTGCGTAATGTTTTTATCCAGTCCCATAGTGAAAACTAACATAAATTTAGATCTAATCTATTTTTTCCAGTAAGCAGCTGAAAAGAACTTGCTTGTGAAAGGTATAGTTGACCTCTCTCTTTTCTGCTTCAAAACTGTCTGAATACTTGAAGGAGTCTTGTTTAAATCTGAGTGTTTTTTTTCCAAGAAGGAAGAATGGCGTAATGCTGCCTCTGTGTAAAACTTTTTTTTTAGATTTGAATCCTTTCCAGTGAAAATATTTCACACACACAGACTTGCAGGTGCTCTGAAAACTTTTACAAACCTGAACTCAGGAATTGAAAGTGGAATTCCAAAAAAAAACAATTTAATTACTCTCTGATGTCATGCTGTCTAAACTAATTTAAGTGCGATATATTTCTTTAAAAAGAAATCTTTAACCTTTCCGTTAACTTGAATCATACCCTATATAAAACCATTTTGAAGCACCAAAACGTCAAATTATGTCATTTAAAGGGTCTACATTAACCTTGCATGAACCTATTGGGAATTGGAACAAAAAACATTACTAATCTTTGTTGTGTTAATTAAAACTCAATTAATACCTCTTAGCAGACGACTGTGCACTACCTTCGTCCCATACGCGCATATAAAAAAAAATCACATAAATATTTAATTATTCTGATTTGTTTTCTTAAAAGCTTTCTAACCCGTTATTTTCAAAATGTTAAATAAAAACTCAAATTAAATGACATGTTAATGTGATAATGCCATAGCACTTTCAAAATACTTTATAAAATGTTCTATAAAATTAAGTATTGTAGCAATGAATAAATTGGAAATTAAGAGGAAAAAAAATATTTCCTTGCTTCATATAAAGCTCCACTATTCCTTTCCAGATGTTTCTATCCCTGAGGTTTGAGTACTGCGTGATGTTAAACAGCAGTGTCCCCTGCAGTCTATATTTAAAATAAAAATTCCTTTTGTTAATATTTTCCAGCATACCTGGTTTCACATTAGTGCAAATGAAACGCATACACCACTCAAGCTAGCTATTTGTTGATGGTATTATCTAAAAAGGTTATAGCCTTGTACGAAGTACAATGTTTCCAGTATGTTCTGGTCTTATTTTTCAAAACTGCAATTCTTCACCTAAACTGGAGACTGTAGAAATTGATTGCATCTAGGAAACCATTTAATTACCTACTTTAAAAATTAGAGGTTCTGTGCAGGGAGCCTATTTAATCATTGCCCTTATTATATTCCAAGCAGTGTGATGTATATGAGACACTAGACTGTGGTGAGTAGTATATTTTATGGTAAGCATTTTTCACAAATCAGCTTCTGCATCAACCATTTGATGACTTATTTGGGTTCAACTGCGGTTTAAAAAACAATGTATTTAATATACACTAGGTGCTATATGAACCTCTAGAATAAGGAGTGTATGAAACTCTTTAGTTGTTTAAGTACAGCTAATAATATTGGAGATATAGCGGAGGTATAGATCACATGTACTATATTAGTAATTCTTATTTAAGTAAGATTTTCTCTGATCCATTTCCACTACGTTTAGAATCCAGCTCAACTAAACCATCAAAACTCATTTTTTTAAGCATGTTTGACGTCTGTACAGATGTGGCTGGGAAAGTTAAAAAATCACTTTGAACACTAAAACCTCTTAATGAAGTGGCTTTGGTGTATAGCTCATACCCCTGCATTGCAATCTCACTGCTTAATTATCTACCATTTAGGAGCTAAACCACTCTGTTTATGCAGCCCTTTATTGCCCCATCTCCTGCTCTGTTACTCTCCTACCACAGTCTTGTGTGTATAATTAAAGTTCAAATAACAGAACAAGAAACAAGAACTTCTAAAACACACTGTTCTATAAGAATCTGATTGAAAATGGAATAAAAAATAATTGAGACTGGGTGATTCACAGTCAGAAAGTATGGCTAGGGCTGCATAAACAGAAACAAAGTGATTGATCCTACATGACAGAGAATTTAGCAGTGAGACTGCAGGGGCCTGATCTGCCGTGCAAAACTGCTTCATAAAGCTAAAGATAATGTTGCCTAGAGTACCCTATTACAGTTTAAAGGGTACTTAAATCTACACCCTTAATTTAACTCTGCCTTGTGACTTGTTGGCCTCTGCCCAATTTCATCACATGACAGAAGGCTTTACATATTGCTTGAATCTCTCTTTACTGAACTCCCAGCAGCACCAATCAGAACATCAGTCGCAGTAACCAATCAAAAACCGCATGGTAGTCTATATTAAGCCATAACATATCAAACACCTCCTCTTTCTTTACTGCTCCTGAACAGCACAGGTTTTATATATATATATATATATATATATATATATATTTATTTATAAAATGAGATTTTATTGTTACCTAATACACATTTATTTCATAGGGGTCATTCTGCCTTTATTGAATTCCTTACTCCCTACTGTCTACCTTGTCCTGCTGCCTTACCTGTGCCTATGGGCTCTTGACCTTTCTATTCACATTCCATTCACTGCCCTCACACAACTAGTTCCAAGATTGTTTTTTACACTGGACTGCGAGTAGTTGTACAATCGCTAGGACCATGGGTGACGGCCATCTTGGATCTTGCAAGGCCATTATTACTTGCCGTACAGGTGCTGACTCCAACTGACTCCAAATCCGAATCATACTTTATATTTTAATTCAGAAAGGCAGGTATTACTTACCTAATTCACAAATTCAAGACTCGGGCTAAAGATTATGTTGATTTAAACAATATGTGACAGCTGCATTGTGCACACTGCAACAAGCCCCCTACTGTATGACAGGGGTAAACCCCCTTTTGTCACTGTGCATATCCAACTGGGCATAAATACAGATGTGAAGCCCTTATTACAGATATACTGTCTGTCATGGTACAGTACCCTTTGGGAGGCATAGGGTTCTTATCCTATTGTGTATCCCATATATTTTGGGATCAATGTTTACAGTGAAAAACTACAACAAGAACATCTCCACTTTTCTGTTTTATAAGGCCTGTTAATTTTCCTTAGTGCATTACTACCTGTAGGTGGACCCTCACTGTGGTCTAACTTGGTGAGACTCCATTTTGTGGTCTCTTATCCATAGACTCAGGGTATTCACTGTGTAAGCCACAGTTTTATAGTGCTGCATTGGGTGAACCCTTAAACATAACAACAGGCCTGTGTATATGTATGTACTGTGTGTATTAACAGCTGAGACTATTTACAAATATTGATTATTGTCACTCTATTGTCAGGTTATGGATCATAGCATTACTATTGCCATCATGAATGATTCTCCATCACAAACCCCACATTCCCAGGCATTAATAAATGTCACAGTATCTGCATCTGTGGAAAAAGCATTCTCCAAGGACCCAATTGCCTATGGAACGAGCATCACACACTACCGAATTGGATGCTCCACATGCCTCTGAAGATCTTGAAGATTTGGACACATATCTTAACGTGGCTCAGGTGAGTTTTCCTTTGACTTTTTTTTCCAAGAATTTACTGATGGGCCTTCCTTTTGGCCTCAGCACAGCTCTGTGGTGCTTTAGGAAACTATTGAAGCCAGTCGGAATTTATTCAAGAAGAAATCCAATGGGTCCTATGTTATGAGCACATTCCAGTCTAATTCTTGGGACAATTGGTAGGACTCCTCTTCTCTTCCATCCAATCAATATATTTGGGTTCATTGCAGTATCAAGCAATGCAACAGCTGAAGGCAAGTTATCTTCATTCAATTCCCTCTAATGATCAGATGGTGCCTCTAGCACGAGATTTCAGGACGGAGCTCCAGTAGGGGCTCATTTATATGTGGGCCTGGCAAGGCAATCTGCAGTCACTCTCCAAATTTCATGGTGGCTCCCAATACCAATCTACGGAATGGCATACGCATTGCACAGAGGACAGGAGGTCCTTGGTTAGAGGTGGAAGTGGACATTCACATCAATTGCCTCAAACTCATTGCAGAGTCTTTCATAATTTGCAGTCTGGCCAGACATGTGTCAGATTGTTGCATACTGTTGAGGATGGACAACGTCATTCAGATGTTACACAAGTCATCTAGCAGTTCTGCTTTGATCACAATATCACTCTACAGGCAGACTTTATAACTGGTGCTGACAATTTCAGTATGGACTGGTTCTCCAGACACTGGAGGGACAATAGCGACTGGGGACTAGATAATTCAATTTTTCACCTCCTTGTTGATGTATGGATATGGATTTCAATTCCTTTACAGTACTTGTTCCTGTCATTTTCAATTTTTTTGTCTCATCTGTTTTCCTTAGGGAAAACATAGCTGTCAGGATTACAGTATTATCAAGCACGTAGAATTGTGTAACACAGAGTACTGATAAGTAAAATATACCGAACCTTAGAATGGCCAGACTAACGTACCAAAGAATAGTCATGAATAATCAGGATGTGGAATTCTCTGCCTGAAGAAGTGGTTTTATCAGAGTCCATACAGATGTTCAAACAGCTACTAGATGCATACTAAAAACAGAATATTCAAGGATATAATATTTCAATGTAGGGTAATAACTGCTTGATCCAAGGATAAATTTGACTGCCATTCTGGGGTCAAGAAGGATTTTTTTTCCTAGCTTGTTGCAAAATTGTGCTTCAAACTGTTTTTTTTGCCTTCTTTTGGATCAACAGCAAAAAAACAAATGTGAGGAAGGCTGAACTTGATGGACGCAAGTCTCTTTTCAGCTGTGTAGCTATGTAACTATGTAAGGAATAGCCGAGGTCAAGGGACACAGAATACAGCGATAAGGAAAAGCCAGGAAACTTGGTGTGAAAATAGCGAATCCTGCGGCCAGCATGTATACCAGATGCCGAAACCCAAGAACGGTCGGCCGGACCATAACCTTTCCAATCCATCAAGTACTGCAAAGTGCCCAGAGAAAACCTGGAATCAATTATGGAAGAGACCTTGTGGCGAAACCGGCCTCGCCACATGTCCTTGGAGGGGGCTGCTTGCCCGCCTCTTGCCTTTGGACTATGGACCAGACTTTATGTGAATGTGTTAACCCAGATAGCTATGCCATGGAGCCCATTCGTGTAGTTAAAGACTTCGGCTCCATGGCAATTGAACTATGTGAATAGGATCTGAGCGCTATTCGGTA